CAAAATCCACCTGATGCATTTCTGAATTTTTGAATAAAGTTTTACCTTATTGTCCGATAGCGGATAAAACGCGAGAATATCAGTCAACGTTTAATAAGAGCGTATCCTAAAAGAAATTAAACAAACATGTAATTAATGCTTGTTTGCATCAGACTACAGCTTCTTACATACTTTTTGCACCTATTAGATAGGTTGGGGCATAATATGACATAATAGGATCACCAAGCAAGTTTTCTCACAGTCCAAGCAAGTTTTCTCACAGCATCTTGACTTTTAACATAAAAGTGCGAATTTTCTTATCTAACATTATGTTTCATATACGCGGTGATATTTATGGACAGCAACAACTTGAACTGAAGTCTTGATCTTTATAAAATTGGGATTCCATCCAGCTTTTCCCATAATCAAGCTCTTAAACTCGATTATTTATTCTTTTTATATACAAACAAACATATCGGTACGTCAAGGTGGCGTTGAAAAGGAGGGGAGAATTTGTTTTGACAAAAAAAACGTTACGGCTTTGTTGAGTTAATATTTTGCATTTTATAACATAACAAATACAAAAAAAATTTCCTTTACTTTTAGCGGTTACACCATGTTCCACCTCATCAGCCGTGGCCATATCGATCCCAACATCAACGTTCTCGACGTCGAGTTCAATTACATTTTGGTCATCGATGGCATTGTGCTCCTCTGCTCTTTTGGTCCTGTATTTACCCAGAATTTTTTAGTTGTGGCCCAATTGATATAAACCAACTAATGCCGCAATAAAAAGCCTGCTTTGTGCGTGCACCGTACACTGCATTCTGAATCAAATGATAATTGATATTGATATTAGCGGCTCAGTTATTAAAGCAACAATTGCTTTTAAAATATCCCGCTTGGATTGATTGATATTGTAGGTTGTGAAGGGTCTTTTTACAGTCGTACGTGTTTTCCTTTTTATCGCTTAAGTCTTTGAAACCAATTTAGTTAATGCATTTCATTTTGTCTTTCACTTTTGAAAAATCAGTTGTATTTGTACCAAGATATAAGAGTGTATTGGGATTTGACAATATTCACTAGAAAAATGAAATGAATGATGTGCTTTATAAATGCTGGATTTACCCCGAAAACCGGGGAGGCCATCCAGCGATTCCAATGGTTAATTTATTAACGACGAAGCTAAAAACTCTACATCCACACCAAGCTCTTACTTATATTCACATAAAAACAATTTGAAAAAATTTATTTTCTAACTTTTATTTCACATAAATAAAGCTTACTTAATAAGAAAAATTTTTTTTGCCCTTTGCTGAACTTTAAATTAACTGATTTAAAGAACATGCAGACTGCTCCAAAAAACCACTGTTAAAAAAAAAAAAAAATTACTATGATTGAGGGGTATATTTATTTATTTATTAAATTTATAATAATTAATTTAATTGATGTGAGTTGATACTAATTTTATTTCACAAAAAGATAATATTAAATAATTTTGTTATAATTTATATTCTATAAATATTAAATTAAAATATTTAAGATTTTTATTTATTAAAATTTTATTTGAAATTAAATTAATTATAATAATTAATTTAATATATTATATATAATTATAATAATTAATTTAATTCAGAGAAAAGGATTTATTTTATATGTTTATTAAACAGTAATGTTAAATATTTAAATAAAATCAGGAATTTTAAATTACTGATTTAATTTATAATTTAAGTATTATATAGATTAATTGAATAAATTTATTAATAATTAAATATTTTAAATTAGTTTTTATTTATTTATTACTAAATTTATTTGACTATATTTTATTTTATTAATTATATATTTATTGTTAATAAAAATTAAAATATTATAAATCAGCAATTTTAAATTACTGATAAATTTTATTGTTTCTAGCTCCTCTTTGGGAGCTAAATCAACTTTATTCCCACCCATCTTCCATCTCTTATTATACTCAGTGGCATTCATATAAAAATCTTCAAAATCATCTATATCTGTAGTAATTATATCAGACTCTGTCTGCGTAGCGAGTCTGATTTTAGTTCCAATTGAGAGGATTGGAAGAGCGAGTCTGAAATTGATGAAAACCTGCGCAAGATGCGGAAGAACCAGACGAAGCGATTAGTGAACCGGAGACTTGTCAACACAATCCTTGTGTTGCAGATTGTGTTTGGGCAATTAAATGTTCTTCTAAATTTTTTTTTCAAAGTTTTTACTTTCATTGCTTTCATATATTATAATAAAAGGTTCTTGAACCTAATTTGTTATGGCTAACCGGCATACCGAATGATTTCTATTTATTATCACCTCGCAAATGCATGGTGATCAAAGTTCCGGTCAACATTACGGTATTCAATGTTGTGGTGGTTGCTCTTGTTTCTTTAGGCGTAGCTTACGTAAAAAAAAATTATGTATACATAGCCGTAGCGAAAAGTTAATGTCCGGAGATAAACTTAGACGTGATTGCTGTCCATATTGTCGCTTTCGTAAATGCCGATACTTTGAAAATGTTAATTTAACATATGCACTCTTTTGCATGCTTTATTTGCTAGATACTTTTCTATATTATTTATTCATAACAAACTTTCGCTCTATACACATTGCAGTGTGCCCGGTACAAGAAACACGTGCGTCAGGGGATTAGCCACTTATGAAATTTGTTACGCTCGCTTGGGTTTTCAGCTGTTTTTGCTAAGCAGCGGAACGCGAAAGTCGAAGCTAACTTTCAGTTATGTGATCACCTCTCAGGTTCATTAAGTGGTTTTCATATAATTGTTTCTGTGCAGTGTATGAGTTGTCAAATGCAAAGCTTTTAATATAATATGAAGGCATTACCAGATAAACATATCTGCCAGATACTTTTCAATCGATTTCGTGGTAAAGGAAAAATCCACTTTTTCCTTTTTTGTTTTATTTTTGACACATTTATTTTAGTCAGCTATATAACTCTACTTTTTGTTCTTTTTGCTATTAAGTCAAACAGCGACTGTACTTAAATATTGTTTGTGGACAAAACATTTGAGGTGAACTTACTTTTAATGTTATATTTAGCCACATGTTAGCTGTGGTTTTGATTTAACAGTTTTTATTTCTAAGAATGCAACTCAGCGTTATTTAGATTGTTAATCTCTCTCACGAGGGGAATTGATAGCAGAAGGTAGTGCTTTGCTTGACAGTGAACGTGGATTTTGTTTTGCTGCTTTGCGTGGGTTTTTTTGGGAAGGTAAAAAAAAAGATGGACGAGTTTGCTTACTTAAGGATGGCTTAAAAAAAAAAAGAAGGAATAAAATAATTAAACAATTAATTGTAGAAATTGTCTGCGAATTTTAAACAAAAGTTGGCAATTGTACTTAAATATAAGTTACGCTAATATCTAAAAAAAAAAACGATTGAAGAAAAGAAATCTAATCAGAATAAAGTGAGTATATGCAACAAACTAAGAAAAGGACACCTACACACACATTCTAGTCAATGTAATTTATGCGGAGGTAAAAAAGAATATTTATTTAAATAAAAAAGAAAATAAGAAGTAATACAAATGAAATATTTACCACGAATACGTCTTTTTAATCATGATCACGATTCTATATCCACTGTGTTTATTGCATTATCGGCCTGTGTATCCTGCCAGTTGGCCCACTATTCTAACTGATTATTCTCCCAGCGTTTTTATGGTATTGTTTTGTTTGATTGTACCTATTGGCAAACTTATGTCAACCGTGTTTGGTCGGGAATTCTGGTTAACGAAGCTAATATTTTTGGGTGTGAAGTACGCACTATGTCTTTATATTTTGCTTTTGGCAAAATAGCCGTTCCCTTTACCAAAGTGATAAACAATGAAGGATGTGGTAAAAATGAATCCACAGTGGATGATGATAGCGTTTTTTTACCGAGTATATTGTTGACACTGATGATATTACCGGCATTTATAATTGTCAAGGAATACCTTTGTGGAGCACAACTCTTTTACTTTATAGCCTTTGACTTGGTGATAGCTAAAATGGAATATTTGGGTTGGTCTCGTTTTGATCTGGGCCTATTCTTTCTTAATCAATATTTTAATTGCGTAGTGCCTAAATCGCATTTACATATTTATCATACTTTACCAGCCACGCATTGCGGTCAATCAAGGCAATGATAGGGCATTTATCAACAGTTCTAGCGGTAAAATGGGGCCACTCATCATCGAAGAGCTACTTCCGAAACGAATGGGAAACGTTAACCTCAAATAGTTATGGTCTTGCGTATTTTAAAGAGAATTGTGACCTTATACAATGTAATAAAGTTGATATGGTATCGTGAGTTTATTGATTATCTGTTTAAGCCCTATGCTGCTCGGCTGCAGTACGCCAAGTCTATTCGTCTTTTATAATGACAAAGTGTCTCGGCATAAGACGGTCACTAATCTTAATGGTTCAGGCGGATTGAACGCCTTGTGTTGTTAGCGAGTAAAACGCTTGGTTGAGTTGCTTTATGAGAACTCTGATGAGAACTCCCTTTTCTTTATTTTCTTACGCACTAAATTTTTACACTAAACTATTCTTATCTTATTCTAAACAGGATTGTAATTGCTTACTAAATTATCCTTATCACACACTACATTATTCTTATATAAACAGAATTATCACTGTTTACATGCGAAGTAAAGTGTGACATTTTATTTTATCAAAAGGGTTATGCTGAAGTGGCATAATTTTGTCACACTTCAAGTGGATGCATATGATGGTATGCGATCACACTACAACAACCTTATTCTTTAAATATGTGTAACAATTTTCCCGAAACAAGTAAGTGTGGCCACATATATTTATAATATATTAAAAATGTGAATTATATTTATATAATAAATATGAATTTGTAGTGTGCGCGGTACTACAGTGATATGGGATACCACAACTGGGGCCAGTTTATATAATACTACTGGTATTTTAAGGAAAACCTAGGAATACATAACTGAATGTTTGACTGATTTATTTTTTTTTTTTGTTTATTTTCGATTTAGGTTGGACTGGTAGTTGTTGTACTTCACAGTTCAAGATATTTAAGACCGCGTTCTGGTTTGCCCTTAAGCACTTGCTTTAGTGCCTTGAAGATCAAATGGCTAATGGACAATGTAACGGCTGTACAAGATCATATAACCACGCGAACATTGTGTTGCGGTAATTTAGATTCATGGTTGTTGTGGGTACGAATCATGATCTCGATTTTGTTTGCATTTGTAATTGTGTAATATATTGCTGCAATATAAAATTTAACTGGAGCCGAATCTTGCGGTATTCAGTATTCGCATTTTGCAATGGGATAAAAGACTACGTGAATTTTATCGCATCCTTTTGAGTATATTACCACGAATACGTTCTAATTCTGAAGTTTGTGGTTATGCTATTGGCGGCCCCTTAGTCGGCATTCCCATAGCTCTTTTTATTTATTTCTAGAGCATTAACCGGCGTCTCTTTTAGGCTAATTATCTGTAAAGGCTGGTCAGAATGTATGTTCGATTGACGATAGTCCCTTTGCTTCATTGAATACGGGCGGGGAATTGATTGAATCTCAGAATGGAATATCTGCGATCGCGTAAAAATTAGATCTCAAACGAAACCTTGTTATGTTAAATGCTGAATACGGCCTGGCTGCCAAAAGGTCTGAGATTGCTTTTGTGCCCGCTTTTCACGACTTATATTCGCCATACCGGCGTTACGAAATCCGCGAGTAAGCAAAAAACAAAGAATACATTTTTAAATTATAAAGAGAAAATGAAATCAATCAAAAAAATTTAGAAAAACTTTGCCAGGTTTAACAAGTTAAACGACTGCTGAGAATGTTATTCAAGTGACATTCGAGGCTACTGGTTTTCAAATACACGAAATACTGCAGGCTTTCAAACATGACGCTCTTAGCAACAGCTGACGCCGTTCCGAGAGGATCGCAATAAGAATATGATACGTTTAGCTTCGATTGTTATATCGCGGCTGAGCTTGACTATACGCTCGTAGCGATCATAATATCATAAATAAGTTTTTATTAAATGTGGAATTATCTCAACCGACGTTTTTCTTCTTTTCTAAAAAAGACAAACATCACAGAATTATTGCTGATACTTGACCCATTACCATTAATTCACTTTCAACGTATGGCTTGAGACATATGGAGTGGGGTAACCGTTCCAAATCAATTCATTAGATCACTATAATAAATAAGAAAATACTTTTTTTACTGTGGTCGTGCCAGTTGCCCATTTGAGGCATTTTTTAGCTCGCGCTACCATGCATTCATAGCAAACCCATATCTCATATTTTCTGCCTTGGTGATGATTCTTATCAATGGTTTTAGCAAATTTCAAGTCAATAAATTTGCTTTGGATTCCATATTTTATTTTTTCTCTGCTTTCGTAAGTATCACAGACTTAATCTTTGCCCGTACGCGATGGACTGGACTAAGTTATCTAAAAATTTCAAAAGTAGGTATCTTATATAGTGCATCTTCTTGTTAAACGTCCGGACGAACCAACATACTTTCATATTTCCATGGTGAGTATAGTAATGAAAGCAAAGATTAAAACCGAAGCAATTTGTTAAGCAAACTTTCAAATATGGAAGAACTTAACGAATACATTCAGAATTGGATAAATTAACTATTTATTCACTATAGATATATGTGTATGCAGCTTTAATAACGTAGTGTATGAAACTACAAAGGTGATGATGTATGCCTATATAACTAGGCTTCGAATTGAATTTTCGCCTCTGACCACCATAGTCATCGTAAAGCGCCTATGTAATGCTACATCTTGTTCAGAGACCCTTTTCATTGGCCCTGAAAGAGTTTGTACTATGTTTTGCGTAAGCAATATTTGCATTTTCTCTTGTTGTAGACGTGAGAATATAATCTTTTTCTGAGATTTTAACGTCCTATTACGTTCTATGACATGCTAACATAACGAAAGCAAACTAGAGGACAGACCTAGGAAATTTAATGGACTGGCTAAAGGGAAATTGACTTAATAAAAACAGAGAATTACGATCGATCAGAATACTAAAATGACTGGAAACACAATTCTCGCATAA